ACTCAGGATCTCAATACCTGTCCAGGATCCTACTTAGGATCCTGCTTCCTATCCAGGATCTTACTTTGGATCTTGATACTCTATAGGATCCTATTTCTATTCAGGATCTTATTCAGGATCTTATTTAGGATCCTAATCCTAAATAGGATCCTATATAAGATCTTATTCCTAAACAGAATCCTATAGGATCCTACAGGATCCTACAGGATCCTACAGGATCCTGTAGGATCTTGGTCAGGTTTTGCACCAGGGTAACAGTGTGAAAATTGAATGGGCTGAACTGTGGTGGAATAATGATAGATGTGTTGATCATCACAGTGAATGAGCGATCTAAGCGAACGCTGTAAAGAAAGACTTGAAAAAGTGATTTCAAGCTTCAACGGGAATCGAACCCATGACCTCCGCGATCACTGTGATGATCAACACATCTATCATAAATATAACAGTCATAACATAAACTTTCTGAATATTGTATATTTTTGCCCAATTAATTATTCCTAAATCACTAACATACAATACTCAAACAGAGGAAGAAGTCATAAAACCTTGAAATACTAGCAAAATTCATAACCATAATTTACTTACGAGATGTTGGACTGACAAATTTTGTTATAACTTTATATCCTGCAAAATTTCCATCATTTATTGCTTGCAGAAGAGGCTCCTTGGGATCCAAGGTATTTGTGGGATATCCTAACTCTAACACAGCTACGACACTCCCTTTTCTGTGAAGTATAGAGCATTATATATTATGAATTAAAAATGACTAAAAATATATAAAAGAATACAATATAGGAAAAGCTATAAGGCTGAGGCCGACCAGGATTATGGGTAGATTCATTTTATCCGTTCAACTGCTTGATAACTGTTGATGGACGTTGTGAATCTTTTAACGCTTACAGTCTCATCTCTTCTGAGCATAATTGAGCTGCAGTTTGTATGAAGAAAGCTTTGTATATATATGCTTTTTTGATATGAAAGGTTTCCCATGATGCTCAGTGATCTCAGCTTTCTAGGTTTTTGGTGACTAACTTTATTGAAATAAGTGTATATTATTCCAAGGAAAACACATCAAAAGGAAGACTCAAAACAAATTCCTTCAAGATTCTCTTGCCTGCATCATTTATTACATGTATACTGTCTTACCTGTATCTAATTACTACTTCACACTTGTGAATGGTTTTGCCTTTCAAGGCATATGCATTAAGGCACTATTACATGTATACTGGCTTACCTGTATCTCACTACTTCACACTTGTGAATGGTTTTGCCTTTCAGGGCATATGCAGTAAGGCACTATAATGTAAACAATGAATTTTGTTAAGCATAATTTAAAATGTTAAATCACAAAGTTCTGCATTAACCAAGGTTGCCGAAACAAATTTCAATACAACAAGGCTATTAACAAATCAATAACATAAGCAGAAATGTTAAAACATTTAAAAAAAATTATACTTAATTTACACTGTGTGTATAATATAAGGTCAAGAGTGAATAAGAATGTAGTACAGCTAATTTAAACTTGTTTAATTCCCCAACATCCTGTTGTTCAAAGTTACAAAAAATTAATGTGATTCATAATTAGGATATCATTAAAAAGCTTGAACAGTCTAACAGATAAAAACAAATAAAAATTGCCTTTAACTTTGCACTATTTTTTTGTATACCATTTATATAATTCTAAGACCAAAACATTACTAATTCAGAATGTTGGGAATTTGATTAAAAGAATCCAAGATAATAAAAAAACATAGCTCAGTTAGTGAATATTTATTATTATTGAATTAGTCATTTACAAAATGGTTACCTCAGTTTCAATTTTGTTTTTTAATTCCTTGTACTTTTTAAAGCTGGGGTTGTCATATTCATTATTGTATGTCAAGTCAGTGAACTCAATGGCCAGCTCCTCCTTATCACATCCAGGTCCACCTATTATAGTGGAGAACATTTTAAAATAAGGCACTACTTATAATACAAAGAAAATGCAGTAATATATTAAATAAATTACAAGTGCTGTACATTTGCAACAAAATTTTAGTTGCAAATATAAAGACTTGTAATTTATTAACTATTAAACAGCCAAAACAGCTAAGCAGTGTTCATACATCATACACATGTATTGTTATGGCTGGTCTTGTTGAAATGCTGTAATGGTGGCAGAACAGCTATGTTTTACTGGCCCAGGGTTTTTTTAATCCCATATATATGTATTACCAGAATTCAAAATAACAGCCAGACATCGGATGATGTCCAGGCAAAACTGGGACTTTTCTGGTCAAACATTTACCTTGCCAGTCATTATGACCAGTAACGGTTAGCCAGAAATGAGGCTTGACTAATAAAAGCTCAAACTAATTTGGCATTTGATCATGGCTGGTAACTGATTAGCTGTCATTTTAAGCTCTGCTACAAGAGCTACAAGGTATTGATAAAAATGTCAAGTAGAGGGGGACCCATGCACTACTATTGATGTTTGATATCAAATACAACTGATAGGAATGTCCACTTACATGTTGAAAACTGTACAAAGCCAGTTGCATTAGCAGTCTCGGCTATTCCATTACTTTTGGCTGTGCATCTGTAGACCCCAATATTAGAGGCTTCAAAATTTTTTAATGTTAGCGGGCTTCCTTGAGACAAAGCTTGCGAGCTTCCAATCTTATCCCATGTTATCGTTGGCTTTGGTTTACCATCAGCAACACATTCAAATGTGACATCTCCTCCTGTTACTGTTTGGTTGTTGGGGTATGTTGTAATGACTGGGGTCTCTGTAAAAATAGAATGATAATGTAGACTTTCAATGTATATTCAAAAATCAACTACTGGAAAGAAAATAAAAGTTCTAAATAAAATAAAACACCAAAAAAATAAAATTAGAATAAATGGAAACAGCAAAAACGAAATTAAAACAGAAGAAAATGGAAAAGAGGGCTGGCCGGAGAAAGAAAGAAATAATGTCGGCATATGTATACTGGTTTATTTTCACAACTTTTGTAAGATATAATATATAATATAATATAGATTAGCCATCAACCTCTAACTGTCCATGAACGTTAATAAAAGTTTCGACCATTCAGCCTTCTTCAGTAAAAAATATGACTAAAAAATGTAAGTAGATATTTTATCATTTATATATACATGTGTATGTGTGCATATATGTATGTATGTTTAATTATAATATATTGTTTGAGACTTTATAATTGTAAACATTGGTTTATTGCTACACGTCTGTTTCTTAGGGTTATAAAATGACACACTCATTAGGCAAATTACGTACTATGAAACTATAGCTTGCCAATTCTAAAATCTCAAACAATTATTATAATAATATTAATTGCTCCTATAAGGTTGAGCACTGAAAAACCATTCTAGTATGAGTCAAAACAAGAATATATACAGAGCTAGAGAGAGAGAGAGAATATTTACTAAATCCAAGTTGGCATGTGCTAAAACCTTGGAACACCGGAATAAAATAACCACAATTGTTACACCGGAAGAAATGAAAAGGTTAAGGCAGAACTGCTGGAACCATATAGTGTGTATAGAAGGCGAGTAAATTTACAGGGAATCTCCAGCTTGAAATAAACCAAAATAAAATAACTTCTTATATCTGTTACTTAAGAATAAGTTTCTTTATGACTAGTAGTTGATCTTCTCGAAGGTCAGTACAGTGCATCTAACTACTATGCATCTTTAATGGAAATGGATGGTTTGTGTCTACTGCATATTAATAAGCAGTAGACACTATGCCATCGAGTTTACCCAGACATAAAGTTATATCCTATTTACATGTAACTAGTGAAAAATATAGTTAAGTGACATACAAAAATTACTTTCATCCTGGTGCAAGGGTTGTAAAACTTTGGATTACTTTCGGATCCCATGTGCACAACAAGCATGCTACCGTAGTGTATTTGACAAAGTATATAAGCACTTGGAGCCCCAGCTGCCAAGTTTTTTGGTGTGTGGTTTGCATAATGATGGCAATCAACAACTCCTCAAAGGAATACCATTGGCATTATTGGCATTTATTTGCAATATTACTGTTGTTTCTGTTGTCGCTTTGGAAGTAATTTATTAAAGCATTAAAGTCACCAACATCAAGGAGTACACAAATACCTTGAGGATGAGGGACACCTGATGGATTACGAGCATGAGAGTAAAATATCCTAAATCTCCCATCACCATTACAGCAAATAGCTACTGTATTACATTGAATAGTTAACAGGAATGACTGGTAATTTTCTACAATTAAAGTTTGCTAAGCATTACCTAAGGGCATACACTAGATAATTATACATACATAATTACCAGTGTAACTTGGGCTGTATTCCATCTGATAATTAGTTTCTAATACTGTTACTATTTGAGGTAACTTTGTCAAAAGTAAAAAGTCTTGGTCATGCAATCTTGACAGGACAGAATATAACTAATTTCCAGTATACATAATGCTAACTAAATCTGCTGAAGAACTTATTGAGTTCCTATGTTTAAATATCAATGCACACAGTGACATGACATGGCTATACATTGACGACCAGCATTTGACCCAAATACTGCAATATTACCTTCAGTTGTGGAGCAGAAATTGGGATAAACTACACGAAGTACATTTTCATGAACTTGGATTTGTCAACAGTAGAAGATAATAAATAAGCTTGGCATTCATTGATCTCTTATGAAAGATAAGAAGTGTTTTTCTAGACCCAAATGGTTTTCTTCGTGTGGGAAAAGAAGCTGGGTTTCTCTTAAACTTTCAATGAAAGCTTTAGGGATACTTCACTTCTTCATGATCTACATCGACATAATTTATTTGCAAAATCCAAAAGGACATCAAGCAAGTTCCTGTGCAAGTGCAAATCAAGTGCAAGTGCTATCAAAATTACAGTTATTCACAAAGCAATGCATTCTAGAAGACATAGGCACGTTTTTCACGACATAATTGCGAACCCTTTTCGTATTGTTCTGCATTTGTGCAAAAGACCTGTGAGCTGGACCTCCACTTGGTTCTCGATCATGCGAAACATTTCACTATGAGACTTGTGCTCAACATTTGTAAGGAATTTAGCATAAAGAGACCAACATTTCTTTGATAATTATGACTATTGGGATGAACAAATACAGATAATTGTACAGCTTTTTCGAATATCTCAGTTATGCTGTAGAGAGTTTGCCAAAGTCTTTGTTGACACATTTATGAAATATTGTACAACCAAAACCATGTACAAGGCAACGATCAACACACTCGTTAATAATAGCTGAGCGAACGATAAACTGAATAAACTGTTCAAAATTGCAAACAAGATAATAAACAAAAAACTTATCCTCACTGTTATTGATGTAAGTCCAAGAATTCTTGATTCAGGAAACGCATTTGTTATCTACAGAGATTCTAATGGCTTCCATGTTGTTTTGGGATATTTTCTCTCGCCGAGCAGACTGCAGACCGCCAAGCAGCGCAGGCTTACACACTTTCGATAGCGTAGAAGATAGATAGAAAACCAAAACCTAGACTCGGCCTACCACAGGTAGCCCGAGTAAAAAGTTTGTGATGTTATCGTGAGAAGCTGAAAAAAGTAATGACTCCATGCCATTCAAGTTATCTTCGGAGTTTTAGTTTTTTCCGGTTACACCGTGATATTATCGACGCATATTGCATTCCGGGTGCACATTCCGTATGTGTACACGCAAATTTAATACTTACATCGAAAATGTCGATTTTTGCATGTTTGATTGCTCGAAAAAAAAAAGAAAGAAGCGTCATAGTCAAAAATTATTTCGACATGTTTCTTTGAATTAGCTTATATTTTAAAAAGTGAAAAAAATCTCAAAACAAAAGGTCATAAGTGTTTATATGGCTCGGTGAGTTAATTGGATATGTCATTAGAATCTATCTGAAATTTTGTAGAATCTAGAAGATTTGTAGAAATAGTTCAAGTGAATCAATCGTAGACAAGGCTTCTTACCAGTTATAAAAGAAACCTACAAATAGCTTTCGTTTAAAATACTTACTGAGCATTTTTAGTGCGACGCTGTTTGTAAACGCTTTGCCTGATGTTTGTTCGTCCACCTCGATCGAATATATATACTCTTTATTCGCTTCCATGACGTCTACACGACTCTTCTCGCCATTCTCCTTGCCTTCATTTATGCCTTGATTGGTTATTTCTTTGATAGTAAAAACTACAGATCCAATCGCCCTGTTTTGAACGCTGAGGCCGTATTTGGTTTCTTCTACGTTGGTAGTCCCACTCGAATAGTACTTAGCGATTTGCGTCTCTGTGCCCAAGGGGTTGTCCTTTCTATATCTCTCGATTTTTAAAAAAAAAAATATTCCTCCTTCCAGGTTCCACTCCCATCGTAGTTCAACATTCGTTTTGTTTTTATAGTAATACACAACCAGTGGATTATTCGGCCATTTTGTGAATTTAAAAGAATCTGAGATAGAACAACAAACAATAGTTAAACGAAGGAATACGAAATATATGTCGTTTGCTCTTATCTTTTTTTCTTGTTTGTAATAAGGTACCATTATTCTATTTTAGCCAAAGCGTCTTCTCATATACAGTAAACAACATTTGAAACTTACATGATCGTGGAAGTTCTGCGCAAATTACCACTAAAACAAGCAGCAATAACATCGATTTAATAGCCATTATCGAAGATGGAGGCTTACAGCTTGTATGCGAAAAGAAAAGTATATATGACTTCCAAAAATAATCGCTTTCGATGCAATTGAGTCCCCTTCGCTTCGCTTGACTTCAGTATCGTTTATATCTTCCATCAAACATTCCAACTGCACTTATCGTCAGGCCAGCGCAGCCAAGCTTTGAAGGCTTGAAAACCCATTCGTTGCTTAGTAACCGCAGTTCAACTGCTTTCAGAACAATAGGAAACCATTGTTGAAATTCTTCGTATTGTGCGTCATTTCCTGAAATTTGCATATGTGAGTAATCAAGATGTGTGGGAAAAATATGAAGTCATTCTTCTTTTAAGAAACGATTAAAAAAAGTAAGACGAAAATAACTGAAGTAGAAGATCTGATAAACAAAATTACAAACTAGTATTTCGGGTAAAAAAATTCGATTCGTATTTTTTTTGTCACCTCATCTTTTCCTCAAAGACTCATTCGAGTTGTCCCAAAAAAAGTATATACGCTCTGTGAATATGAACTAAAAAAACCTTCACAAACTTTAGAATTTTTCTTCTTCTTTACATTCCATTGAAAATGAGCCTGAAGTCTCCGAAAAATCCAGACTGTAGTCACCGAACCGAATCCGAATGCACCAACGGAAGCTGAGGCGCCCTGCCGTGCATATATGACAGCATTAAAGACAAGCATTGTTTATATGTTATATTTTTGATTCAGTCCACGAAGAAATTCCTATTGCAGTACATTCGTTTTGTATGACTTGTAATGTAATTCTCAGTAGTACCCATTGAAGGGAAAATGGATACATTTTATATTGTGGTTGAGATTTACTAGTACAACTTGGAATGTAGCGTAGACTTGAATAATGGATGGCACAATATGGACACTAGCACTCATTGCTTAGCTTTAAGAATAATTATCGGTTCTAAGAGTTCATGGAGTGGTGGCTTCGTTCGAATTGGTTGAATATTTCCCTGCATCTTATAGAGTTAACGTTGTTTATGTCGTATGTAGGTGAGTAAACTTCGACATCATTATTTTATCTAATATTTTACAATTACGTTGCATTGTAAATAGAGCAGTAAAATCACGAGAAAAATGGCTAACGTTGAATGAACAGCTTTACTATGAACTGGAATTGCTACATACATATATATATATCTATATATGCCGTTCATTCGTTTGAACTGAGTATGTTTAAACTCATATGTCGCTTTCGAATTTCTCATCTAACGTGGACGCAACATTTTAATGAAAATGCATAAACAGAAGGAAAGACAGGAATTGAAAGGCAGGGAATGAAAGATAGAGGAGGACAATATATACTATGATCATAGTGTGATTTTTGTGTTGAGATGAACTCGAACAACATGTGGAAGCTTATCATTCATGACTTTGTAATAGGTATTGCTGTGCAACTAAATAATATGCAATCATCAGTATCAATATTGCATTCATACACATACCTGCACCAAATGCAAAAGCACTCCAAGATATTTCATTATTTTATATGTTCAGAAAAGCCGTCTTTTTTTCACGAGGGTAGCACTTAATAGCCAGTGGCTAACAAACCTCTGGCCCTCATTTCAAGAAGGAATTTGAATTTAGGAGTTGATTTTTGCGTAGGGAGGAAAACCTGAGATCCCGGAAAACCCTTGAAGTACAGGAGAGAACCAACAAACAACTACTCATACAACGTACACCGAACCCAGCAGGACTCGAGCTCTGGTCACATAGATGGGAGGCAAATGCTCACATTGCTACGCAACCCATGCTTCCCAATGCCCAGGATTTTTTTCCAGTATGTTTTTAATGAATTGCTCCACCAATTTGAACTTAGATTTAATCTCCGGCCTTGGTGTTTTGTAAAGGGAAATCGTTGCTGTAATTAATCAAGGTTGTAGTGTAGTGCAGTGAACTTGGCCTTTTCTCTCCAGCCCAGTGATCCCATAAAGAAACTGCTTACTTTCTCATTGAAGATTGATGGACTGGTTATAATTAATGGATCCATAGCATGCTAAATCTGAAAGAATGGACATTTGACCCTCATGACAGTATAGAGGATTAAACTTTACTTGGATACTTGATTGTATTTCCCTGAGCACACACACAAAAAAAAAAATTAGGGTAAAAATATGGCTAAGCTAAATTCTTTCAATAAATGGAAGCCAACAGGTTTTGTCTTCATCAGTAGGTTGACTTTACCATAAAATAAATCCCTTACTGATAAAATTTTGAAATTTATCCTACTTGCAGATGCAGCAGTCCAGTTTACTGTTGTTGCTCCAAAGGTATTCTATATACCAGTTAATGGAACGGCCAAGTTCAACTGGGATTATACAGTAACAGATAGAGTGAATGAACTCAAGGATCACTCGCCAACATGGGATCTATACTTACCAAATGGAAGCTCTACGCAACTTGCCTATGAAAACACCAATAATAGATCTTGGAGGTTATCAGATTCCTGTCCTTTAAACTTGCGAGCTCGCATAAAGATTGAGTTGCCCGCAACACTAGTTATTTCACAAGTAACATTAGAGGACACGGGTATATATGGATGCAGTTTGGTATTGAATACTGGGGCACCTCTAACAAACACTTCACATCTTATTGTGTTTGGTAAGTTTCATGCATGATTAGATATAGTACAGTATATTTTGTATTTTTTGATGATAATATAAGCTATATTACAATAAGGTGACTTGTCAATTTCAATATTAATATTGGCAACATTATATTGGCAACATTATATTGGCAACATTATATTGGCAACATTATATTGGCAACATTATATTGGCAACATTATATTGGCAACATTATTATAACTATTGAAATATTTTCAAACATTTCATGTAGTATCAAGATCTTTTTTACACATATTTAATCCATCCATAGTAACCTGTAAGTTTCAGGTGTGATAAAGTAGAGCTACAAATCCTTATTGCCTAACCGTAGCTTGTGACCCAGGCCTTGTTGAAATATTAATTCTTACAAATGTAAAGTGAAAAAAAGAAAACCTCATTAAATTGATAACCATGTGTTTATGTTTGTTTCTCTCAGCTGTTCTCTCTTTTTTCCTTTTCTTTGAGGTGGGTGACAGGAGGTAGCTAGTGGTTTGATTGTACCCAGCTAGTTAACCAACTATGTTAACCCATGTTCAAACGTACATATAAATACATACAATATTAACTGCTTAGACACTTAGAAACTGGGTAGACCAATTATATAAACTTTTTGTTCTTGTGTTATTTAGATCCTCCTACTTTCATTAATGCTCCTTCTGGTACGATTGAGGTATTAGAAGGTGGAGCCTTAGACGTGAAATGTTTAGCCAATGGTAATCCTGTGCCAATAGTCAAATGGTATGGTCCAAAAGGAAGGTCAAAAATCATAAGCAGTGGAAGAGGAAGTGCTAGTTTGAAAATTCAAAACATCAGAAGATATTCGAATGGAACTTATGAATGCCAAGCCAACAATTATCTTCAACAACCAATCACCAAGCAGGTCTCAGTAATAATATATTGTAAGTACTACACTGGAAAGGGCCATTGCTTTAGTGTTTATATATGTATTTATACACCTTTTATATGCATTTATTGTTCCCAAAAGGTGATGTGCTTACAAAGCACTCTGAGAAACCAAGTATGGCAAAAATACAATGGGGACCAAAGGAACTATGAGAATATTACTCTGTTGTGTTCATGTGTTGAAATCATTGCATTTCCACAGCATTTTCAATAAGTATTTGGTTTGCCATATGTTTTGTGCTCATGCACATTGGCCATTGAGTTTACAGTAACTATCTAAGTAAGTAAGTGTTTGAGAAGAAAGAAAGGAAAAAGAAATAGAATAAAGAAATGACAACACTACTTACTAATTAGAAGTAACAAAAAAAAAAAGACGATGCACACAATTCCAACAAGATTGTGAGGACAATAATTAACAGCCTATGTTCTCAAAGAAACGAAGAGGGCTGTGCTGAATAGTCTAACCCCCCCCCTCCCCCCCT